TTGAGCAAATTCGTTTGGTGAGGAATTCACATAAGCTTGCCAATTAACAGTTCGGTCAATGAAATATTGGCCTATCACATGCTTCCCAATCACCCCTTCCCCCCAAACATTCAATGACCACTTGGTTTGACTGATAGGCCGAATACAAAGCGGGTGATCTGTCGCATAATAATGGAACTAATCCATTTCAATGAGGAAATGCTCCATCGGCACATAATACAAAATTGAAAACATCACTGTTTTGCTCAATTGGTTTGAGCCCACACTCACAGAAGATTATGCTTCTTTTAATCATCATTCAATAGCTCCTGCATTCGCTGTATATAGGAAGAATGCATTTTGTTCTTTGACAACATTTTTCGATCGACAGTGCAACTTATGTTGGTTTGTTTTGTTACTAATGATTGTGTCTTGTCTGGAGGTGCCGGAGATAAGTGAGTCTATGCCTTCCTTGTCAGACTTCAAATATTTCTCATTTGGATATACCAACACATCTGGTTCTCTCTGATCCTGGTTCCTATAAGAATGATACAATTGATTTACTACTCTTTTATAACTTGCTTCCGATTAGGACAATTTGAATAGACATCATCCAGTGCTACAAAAACACGTTTGGTATAGGTAGTATCAGGTTCACTTATGTCAGTATCAATATCAAAAGTTCGATGTGATTTGAATTTGAACGTTGAATGGTATAATGCCTGACGATGAAATTCGTGAAAAAATAGTTGTCGATACGACGACAAGTTGTGAATTGGGCGTATTTATGGTACACATTCCTTTGTTAGATTCTCCTCCTAAGTAAGTAAGTAAGTTAGTAAGTAAGTAAGTAAGTAAGTAAGTAAGTAAGTAAGTAAGTAAGTAAGTAAGTAAGTAAGTAAGTAAGTACTTTATTAGACCACGTTAATGTATACACATTTTGCAGCAAGTCAGGTTAAAAGTCGATAACTGAGTAATTCGTGATATATGAGATATCAAGTGAGTTAACAAGATACATACAAAAAAATAATATAGATAAAAATACAGATAGAAAGACGATACTAAACAAATAATGCACAGACTAGTTTCGGAACAAAGATATTTCCAGGACAATGATATTTTTAGGAATATTTTGTGGTCAGTGACGATGGTCATATGACGGAGGGGAGTCTATGTACTCTGATACAGATTAAAAACATGATTTTGTCAGAAATTGTCTCACCAATTTTTTGAATTTATTAGTCTCCATGTTTGTAACATGAGTAGGTAGGTGATTATATAGATTTATGTTGAGCGAGTTTCTAGAAGATCTTGCCAACCTGTACCGGGGGGGCCTAACTTGGCCTGAACCTCGAGTATTATAATCATGAAAATGGGAATTGAGTTGTAGTTTATCCTTATTGTTATGGATTTCCAGCATTTGATGGTATATATAAAGGGATGGTAATGACATAATACTATATTGTTGGTAAAGAGGCCGACAGTGGTCTCTATATCCAGCATTCGCGATAACTCTTACTATTCTTTTCTGTAGTTTGAAGACTTTGAATGAATCCATAGAATTTCCCCATAAGATTATTCCATACGATAAATGAGAATGAAATAATGAATAATACATAGTCAGAAGAACTTCTATATTGATCACTCTTCTCAGTTGTCTCATGATGAAAATCAAACTGGAAAGTTTAGAACAAAGTATTTTAAGTTGGGTGATTCAAGATAGTAGGCATTCGGAAGATATTTTGCATAAGGCAGAATATTGACGGAAAATACTACGATGAGTGAAATGTATATAGATTATTTGGAGGAGTATAAAATTTTAGGGGCATAAGTCATTGGCTGAATTGGTCAAGTTTCGTATTATTGTCCACATCATAAGGTCTTAATTGAAAGGAAGTTACGAGTTGTGTTCGATTATCCAGTTTCTACAGATTCCGGTATATCATTCAATGATATCCAGTCTAGAGGAGAAAATATACAAAACGATTTGGTGTCAATTTCATCATGGTTCAGGAAATATCCTGCTATGGTTTGTTCAGATATAGCAAAAATGTATCGGATGATATCAGTTGGAGAAAGTGAGAGGCCAGGAAATATTGCGAAAATCTGATCCTGATAAAGAAACTTGCTGAAAACACTCTGAATACAATACAATTAGGTGCCTGAAACAACTTGGTTTGGATCATTCACAACCATTTTCTAGGGCTTCAGAGGTGATCTTGCAAAATTATCATATAGATGACATGTTGTCTGGTGCTGACGATGCTCAAAATGCTATGTTTTCATGCAATCAAGTGTCATCTATTTATGAAATTGATTTCTTGATGTACAGTTTAGTTTTTTAGACTCTTCAAGAACGAAACGTTCGGTAGTATCTGACATCTTGACTAAAATCATAATGCAAAAATTGTGGGCTAAAAAGCTTCATAAGGATGAAACTTTCCCATTTGATATTTATACAGAATGATATAGATTGTGTAAACAATTTTTGAATCTAATGAGATGCAGATATCAATATCCGTTATTGGTGAAGAACCAGTGGAAGTAGAGATCCATGGTTTTTGTGACGGGAGAAATGAAGGAATAAAAGTACAGTTGGTGTGTGCTAAGATCAAAGTGTCACCTTTGAAAACTATAACAGTTCCTTGACTGTATTTATTCGAGACTTATTACTTGCAGAATTATTGGTAGAAGTCAAGGAATCCCTATCTTGAATTTCTCAACTACTATATTCTGGTCAGATTGGTCCATAATTGAATAACATGTCACCGAGTGGTTCAGAAACATTTGTAGGGAATAGGATTTCACAAATTCAAAACTTGTGTAATCCTGCAGATTTATTATCACGCGTTGTATTACCAGATAGAATCAAGGGACCATTGTGGCTTTCTTGTCCTCGAGAATCATGGCCATATCCAAAATATCAAGGGATGGAGGTAATTTCTGACACGAAAAATAAAGTTTTGATTGGTCATGTTCGGAAAGATCTGAATTTTTTTCGTTCGCTTGATTTTCAGATTTTGGTAGATTGAAACGAGTTATAAGGTATCATCTGCGATTCATTCGGATTTGTGAGAATTATAGAAATTGTTTGAGTGGCTGATAAACTGTCGTGGAATTGAATAGTTTTCCAAAAATTTGGATAAAATGTTCTCAGAGAGGATCTTTTTCTCAATAATTATCTCATATTATGATTAAACAACAAATCAATTCCAAATGTATCAACTAATTGAGCACTTTCATTGATGAGATAGGTTTTCTGTCGGAGGAAGACTCAACCTCTCCGAATCATGATCATATTGATAATTAAGGCTGAGCATGAGCGACTCTTCATGCTGGTCTGTAGCTTCTACTGTGCTCAATACGAGGAAATAAGTGGCCTATTGGAGGCAGAAATATGGCACAAAAGTGGTTTTTGGGTGTATCAAATATTCCAGAGTAAATCTCAAGGGTGCAAATCAAGTCATGGGTTTGCTTCCTGGAATGCGAGTTCGTGCAATGCCTCCGTCTATCACTTCAGGTATTAATTATGGCCCATTTCATATTGAATATATGGACTTGGTCGGGGTTCGAAGGGGGTAAAATGTTATGTACGTTTGTTTTTATGTTTCTCCACTGAAGCAATACCCCTGAAATTGGTAACAAGTTCGTCAACTGAGGTTTCTCTAGAAACACTGAGAAGATTCGTATCTCATAGGGGTAAACCCAACACCATTTATTCGGACAATGGATCAAAATTTATTGTGGCTATTGATGAATTAGACATATAAGGTGAATACTGAAATGATAGTGAGTCTTGGAATTGGTTTGTTTAAAAAAGAGCATAAATTGTGAATGTATTCCTGGAAATTCACCAATTTTCGGGGGATTATGGAAAGCTTGGGTTAAATCTTGCAAATTTCAATCAAATAGTGTAATGAACAATTCATCGTTGTTGTTTGAGCAATTTTTCCACACTGCTCACATAGGTGAATTTGGTGTTGAATTCCTGCTGATTGGTCCCTCTTCTCCCTTCACCTGATGATATGGACTACTACTCATAACATTTTCGTATTGGTAGATGGTTCACTTCCATACAACATCCGAATCTTTCCAGATACCAGCATATTCAGATGTTATCACAACAATATTTGACTAGGTGGTCGGGAGAATATGCAGAGGAACTACAACATAGGAATAAACGGACGAATGTATTAGAGAAATAGGAGATTGGGCAACTGGTGATTGTGCGCGAAGACAATAGAGAGTTGGAGTAATCACTGTACGTAGACCTCCACGTCGACGTTAACGTACGAAAAATAAAGTTTACGTATTGTAGATAAATTGAGTTGAAGTCGTCACTGTCATCATAACGTCATAATACATTTTGTTTTCGGTTTGTATTGGTCATTTTTGGTTTTGTGTTTAGATTCGAACATTTATTCCTGTCAAAATTAGAGGACTCCTTGATGCAGAACTCGTTGGTGATCTCGAATTTGATAATTTTGACTCATCGGCATATTTCGAGTATAGTTTGGTTTACGTACGTTGATATTTAAGGTATACGTGAAGGAACGTGAGATAACGTACACCCGTAAGCCCACTAACAACGCAAACGTGAAGAATTGGAGAATGCGCATGCGTACCTGTCAATTTCTACGTTTACGTTAACGTTCATGACAACACTTAACCTCTCTAATCTTTCTCCTACGCAATGGATACTTAGCTGTAGAGTTACTGTGTATTGGGAGCCTAATAAAACATCGCGGTGACCAAAACGAAAGATAATCTTGGTGAATTCAGGCAATTTCTGAGACAAATTCCATTTCCTATAGACAATGGTCAGATAATCAATAATATTATCGCGAAAGCACGAACGCTCGTTCATAAGTTTGGTTTTATCGTGGTCAACACGGATCTTTGCGTGCATTGCGGTGTATGCACATTCGCACGAAGTACTATACATAATGAAGTTGTGTGCTCTTGCTATTTTCTTTGTTGAAATGAGAAATTATTTCCTCAAATCAACTTGATTGTTTCAGATAATAACGAAGAAGTGGTCAGCTACATGAAGGAAAATTATCCTCCAAACTTCACCTACCAAGAGTTTGCGAAAGATTTTAAAGCAGAATTTTTCAATGCTTCCGAATGGGCAGAGATTTTCCAACAGTCAGGTGCTAGGTGAGTTAATGATATATCGTATTGAAGTTGAGATCCTAGTTGATTCGGGTCGAGCATGATTGGTGTGAGAAACTGTGAAAAATCAATATGCGTGAGCTCAAAAATCTAACAGTAGAAGTTATACTGGGTGATTCATAAAAACCTGACATACTTTCAATAAACCGTGTGTTGGAATTAGTCCTCGAATCAACTCCTTGCCATAGGATGCATTAGTCATCTAGATTTTGCATAACAAAAAAAGTACAGGGATATATTCGAGAATATCATTCGATATAGCCCCAGTTGACGGTAGTTGATTTCTATTAACAGTGACCCAGGCAAGCAGAAGACGTTTCAGTAACATCTTTTTGCGTCTGGTGAATGACCAAGGTGACGTCAGGAGTTGACTTCGTATGACGTGATAAATGACGTGGATATGTCACAGCCCAATGACGTCATATTACTCACGTTCATTGACGTGATTCTCTCACCGAACTGACTGACGTCAAAATGACTGCAAAATGACGTTCAGATTTGGTGATGACACGTGAATAAATTTCCTAGAACTGATGACATATGCATAATATTGAATATGCATTGTTCGGTCTGCTTAGTGGCTCTTCTGGTGCCATATCCATTCAATCGTCTATTCAGCATCCCTCAGTACGCATCTCCATCAGAATAAAATCAGTTACCAGTATTTGTTTGAAAAATTATGTAGTTTGTGTCGGCGAGATGTAAGCAAACCAAGAATAGTTTGATAGCAATGAAAATAATGTTGGCGAATTCAGCTTCAGTTTGTTGAGTAACGTTTATTCATGCATCATTTGTCAACCAACAAAAATCTAAATAGCAAATTATTAAAACATTTTCTGAATGACGAAGCTCACCAAATTGGTACGTCACACCGACGTGATTTTAAGACGTCATAGATACGTCACTGCAACGTCATGAAAGTGACGGTTTCAATATAGGTACACCTATATTATCATTTGAGTATATACATTGATTGGTTTCCAAGATATACAGGGTGTCAAACTTTAGAAAAAGTTTTCTCTTACTTCTTGAGTATACAGAGTGGGCTATTGGAACCAAAACAGCGTCAACAAGCGAAACAAGTCCACTACATTTTCGAGGGGGACATCGTTCTAAAATATTTTCAGCCCTGCGGCATTACCGCTTCTAACGAAAAGAAGCAACAACTTTGTTATTTCAAATGGAACACCTTGTATTTCATTGCATTCTTAGATTCTCCCCGAAGAGCTGATTTCATCAATGCATCACACTTGGGGTCTAGCTGGAATAATTTCAGGGATATATGGTGTCCAAAATCGAGATTTTCCAACTTTAGGATTTTTTTGAGTCGACACTATTCATTATTGAACTAAAAGGCAATTATGTCCCTATCTCAACTTTTGATTCACTATCTACTGACATTCATTTTAAACAAATACAGGGTGGTTCAAGATTCAGACTTCTGATCACTCCGATACAACTTGCATGTTGATTTGTTTTAATGAGATACTCCTATCGAAGTAAGAAGCATATATTTGAAATTACCAAAAAGTACATGTTTCTATATATGTGTAAAATTGATGGAAATCCGATAGGGTTGTGAGATATACAGGGTGTTTCATAATTGAATGTCAATATTCGAGGAGACGATTCTAGGGCCCATTGTAAGAAGAAAGTTTCATATGAACGTATGAAAACGTCCTTACTTTTGAGATACAGGGTGCTGGTAAAGTTCTCAAAAATTAATATAGCCTACTAACAATGATAAGTTATAATTCCAAAATACCAAATACGAATACGAAGTTCATAAACTATGAATTGTTTTTCTGAAATTTGATCTAGAAAATAAAATCTATTTCTCTGCCTTGTGATATGGTCATATTAAAGAAACTGCTATAATCATGTAGTGAGAAGCTATTTATTGTTTTAAGCGAACACCGTGCATCAGATTGAAAAAATTGTAGTGATCAAATTTGCTTAGAAATGATTGGGAATTTCAGGAATGATTTCAATTTCGAGATTAATCAGTGGCGTACCATTAATGTCTGCCAAAATAGGTATGTGAAATTCCATACAAATGTCACTGGTGGCAACAACAAAAAATGTGGTACACTAACTGATGTCTCTTGATACATAGTACATGTATGCCAAATTTCATCAGAATATTTGGAGTGGTATTACAGATATTAATAAAAAACTATTAATTTTTGTGAACTTTACCACCCTGTATCTCAAAAGTTAGGACGTTTAGGTCATACCTTCATATGAAACTTTCTTCTCAGAATGGGCCCAAGAATCGCCTTCCCAAATATTGACATTCAATTATGAGACACCCTGTATATTCGACAGTAAATGCGAATAGGATTTCTATTTTGCTATAATTAGACTCTGATTCAATATATAGTTTGACACCTTATGTGGCAGCGTGAGTGAACATACCCATTTTACTTCGAGTAGAATCAATATGTTAGCTACAGCTGGAAGTCAGTTTCAATAGGTGATGTTATACTTTTGGGCAACGGAGTTGAGAGTATGTCAATTGAGAACTGACTAGTCAGTGAAGTGGGTGTAAGAATCATAGTCCACGGACAAGAATCTCAGAAAGCATTTATGCCATTGATTCCACTCTAGTTTTTCAACTATTCTACTGACCTAATGATTGTAAGATATTATCTGAATATTAGAATGATTTGTACCTGTCCTGCGAAACGATAAAATTGCGTTCATTCAATACCAAGCTCAAGCGATGCATCAATGCCCCGTGTCCACTAATTCAATTTGTTCTCCTTTATTGAATTTGAAATTGTTTATTTTGTAGTAGCCACTGATTATATAATGATTATTTTTGGTAGTTGGGAGTGAATTGTATCTTCTCTGTATGGGTTTATCATTTCATTGATGAAGTTGAACGATTGCTATTGTCACGAGTAGAACATACGGTATATCAGTAATTTCTAACCATGAGGGTTTTAAAAACATAAAGTAAATCAAATCATCCGTTGACATTGAATTATAAAAACTGACCAAGGAACTCTCATGAGAAACGTGCATTTCTAATAAAATGATGTATATAAATATTGGATCTGAGGGTTCCGAAGTTAGTCTGGTCTGGGGCTACTCTTGACTTGACAAGAGCTCGTCGTAATGGTCGTTATGATGTAAGTTGTTATTAGGTCTTTATATTCATTGTTGTTTATTCATATTTGTCATCACTTCACCCATAATGTTTCATGCTATTATAAATGTTGTTATGTTTGAATGTCGTCTCGTACTTTCAGTTACCCCTAAACTATTAGTGCCTATTTGAATATTACCTCTCGCAAAATATTAAGCCAAGCATTACCCCTTTTCAAATCGATATAGTGGAAACACAACCCTAATGTCTTGACATGGTGGAAACAACCCTTTAACTCTTTTGTTGTGACATGATGAACTAACCACCCTTTTATATCGTGTTATTAACTAATATTAATTCATGATGGATACTCAACTCTTTTGTTGTGACATGGTGGAGGCGCCTAAGCTTCTTTCCTTGAGTCTCATTCCTCATAATGGACTCATCAATTTTTTTTTGCATTCATGGATTCACACCAATTCTATATTTCATACAAAGGCACTAGTAGAATGGGTTATTTGAAAGTAATTAAGTATAGCAGCATGAATTATGGGTGATAACAAAGTAAGAAAGTCATTTAAATTAGAAATCCAAATTTTTTTCAATATTTTAAATACCAGTAAGCTTGAAAAGTTGAATAACAATCATTCCATTACTATTCAGAGACATGATATAAAGCACCGGACCAGACTCACAAAGTTTGGAGCTTATCTCTGAACTTTGTTATTTTTTTTTCTCTACTCGTAATTTTCTATTTGAATTTGGGAACGAGTTCTTCCTATATCTCATTCTTGCCAGTTTTTCATTTCTCATATCAAGATAATTTCAAATATTTTTATTTATAGTTGATAAAATCATTCAAGAAATGCAATGCCAATGCCACCATGAACACTCAATTGAGAATATAATAAGTAATTCACAACGTGCCTATAATTTTATAACAATACGAAATGAAAACAATAATAACAAATTCTCGACATGCTCGATATTAATCATAATAAATTTCGATACTGGTGCGAAGGCAAATAATTTATAATTCAAGTAATAGTTGAAAATGTTTCTATTCAAAATATCTTAGTCAGTATGTATATGACCTTTCAAATATTGAAAATACTCTTAAACGTTGGGATCGTTTACCAATTTTTGTCATTCCTCCTGAAATGAATTATACGCAAATATGATATTATTATGTTATGGAAATATGATATGAAATGAATTAATTGAGCTCAAGAATATTGATGTGTATGTAAACTCTCAATGAAGAGATTGTTACTTGGTTACAAGTGTTAACCGTTTCCGTACAGAATAATTATCACCCTATTCAGTATATCTCGTGGTCCTAGCCAAACCACATCCAGAGAAGTAGCTGTTTGGTTGATATTCTGAAAAGTACGAAGTGTTATAGTTGAAAGTGTGCACTATAACAGTGAATAGGAGGGAATCCTGGAAGATGTGCCACACTAAGGCATGAAGGATTAACCTTACTAGATATTTTGTCCTCGATTTGATAGGACAATAAATGATGATTTAATGTGGAATAATGAGCTCGTATATGATGATTATGTGTATTTATGAATTATGAAGATGATTATGATGATATTTACCCCCGGGGATGATTTTCCGAAAATGAAAAATATTTGCGAGTTGTTAGACAAAGAAATGTACGGTCTAGTTCTAACCAAAATAGGAGGAATGAGCATGCGGTATTTAACAGGAGTATTTTCAATCAGTTCAATAATGTATAATTGATGAAATATTACAACATATTTTTCAATTTTCTTATAATAAACTATCTTACTACTTGAATTCATCGAAACATGGTGAATAGGGGAATTGATATATTTTTTTAATTGAATAAACGCCAATTCATTGTGTAACCGGTTACACCAAA